TTTAGGGGTCTAGGGGTTTACGGGTTTAGGGTTTCGGGGTTTAGGGTTTCGATGTTTAGGGTTTAGGGTAGGATTTAGGGGTTTAGGTGTTTAGGGGTTTAGGGTTTAGGGTTTAGCATTCAGGGGTTTAGGGGTTCAGGGTTTAGGGGTTTAGGGTTTAGGGGTTTAGGGTTTAGTACTGCAGCTGCTCACATGTTAGTAAGCAAGGCTGGGGCTCTTCTGAAACCCCCAAAACCTTCGATCCTGAACTGACCTGACTGAACCACGAGTACCATAAACCCCAAACGGTAAACCCTACCCGTCTCCGGAAACATGCAGAAGCCCACGTCAGCCTACTTAAAGACTTATGAGGAAGCTTAAACCCTAATGAATCCCTCACTTTCCGCATTGGATCCAGCAGCAAGCCTTGCGGTTCAGATCGATCCACGTAGGTATCCTGAACGTGCGAAGAGCGATGTATTAAGCCCACACAGAATTTTGCAAAGAAGCTTCAGCGAAAGCCCTCTTCGCAGTTTTAGCTAAGCTTGCTGCGGGATAGGACCAGGCAGGTTCAGAGTTTTGGAAACCAAAAATAAAACTCTAGAGGTCCAGATTAAAAGAATTCCGAAACAAGGCACCCCTACTTTAGGAAGCTTCCTTGTAGGTGATCACAGGCTAACAACCATAAAGCCAAAGCCCTAGCAAAACGCACGAGTGCGAGCAGCTTCCACTACAGGTCCCATGCCATGCTTGCTGGAAAGAAACAACAGGAGAGGTGGGTTTAGGGCTGAGGGTTTAGGGGAGGTACCCAAAACATCTCAGCAGGGTTCTGAGCCAAAGCGTTCCAATGCGCAGCCTATGTCAAGGATCTGACAGTGTAAGGCTGTAGGCAGCCCAAAACCCTAAACTCAACCCTAACCCTAAACCCTAAACTCCCCAAAACCCTAAACTCCCCAAAACCCTAAACTCAACCCTAACCCTAAACCCTAAACCCTAAACTCCCCTGAAAGCCTGTCGTTTTGGTAGCCGAGGCACAGTGGGTCGTAGCAGTCCACACCCCAGAAGCAGCGCCTCGAAAAATGTGGTAATAGAGGGGCCTTCGTAATTAGAATTAGAATCAAGGGTTTAGGGTTTAGGGATTCGGGGTCCTTTATCCGCCGACCCCGCTGGGG